TATTGGGACGGGGTGGAGCAGATACAAATTGTATACCATGTGTCCGAAACCAAAAGTAAAGTACAATGTGATTACTATTCACTGGTGAGTTAAGGTGCTGAATATCCATGGTATCCTCGTGGCGGTGTATGAGGACAAGGTCCAGCAATGACAGGTCATGTTCCAAGTCAATATGGGTCGGTTTTGGGATACATTGTACAAGTGCACATTGAATAATGGTTGATAGAAGACTGCTATCGAAACCCTCCCATGGAGCTGTGAGCTCTATCCAGTTGATATACGGTGCGTTGAAGTCTCCAATGACGAGACAACATTCTACCTCAATCCAAGAACAGATGTGTTTAAAGATGAAGTCGTCAATATGACAACATGGACTACGGTATATTCCTCCTATAGTCATTAACCCGTTTCTTGACTAAATTGAGCAACTTGCTAATTCACATGTACCACTAACATGCTCCTCGGATACGACTGATCGTATACGAAATTGATCTCTAACGTATAATATTATGCCTCCTCCTTTGCGACTTGAAGCTCTATCACTTCTTACACAGATGTAACCTGCAATGATGAGAGAACAGTCTATATCTACGGCGAGCCAAGTTTCTGTGACGACAATTATGTCGTGACTTGATTAATCAAACATCAAACTTAGCTCGGACGTTTTATTCGAAGACTACGGGCTTTCGTGTAGCACGCATTTAGGGTGTTTTTGGAGTCATTCGTTCTGCCCATACAGGTTGCGGAAGCATTGGCTTCCAAGACCTGACTACCCGAAAACTCTTAATTGTAGGGTTCGTTTCGCCACTTAACTTTCGAGTTCTTAACTTCGTAAGAGCATTCTTCCAATTGATTCGGTAATCAAACGGCCAATCTGGTCGGATACGAATATTTGAATCACGAGTTTTGTGTGTGTTACGCAATAGTACATCTCTTTCTTAAGAATCCCGAGTGCCAATTTCAAGATCCTTTTTAGTTGGGTCTTGCCTCCAATCTATTTACCGAGTCTTATTACCTTCGTGATGTGTACCCTTGAAACCTCTTCAGGTAGTAGATTTTTGATCACAGATTCCACTAACTGCAGATCATGTGCATGTTATTTAGCAGGGTCATTGTCTTTCGACTCCTCTAGATTCCAAATACTTAAAATAGGAACGATTTCAACTTTTTTGAAAGTCGTGTTCACAGCCTTCAGCCCAGATGCCCAGCATCCACATTAAAACTACTTGGGAAGTTGATGGCTTTGTTTGGATCATCAGTCGCTGCTGTAGCACCTTGGCCACCAATATCTAATGCCTTATCGCTCATTAATTGTTTCGGGATAGAAAGCTCTATTGTGTGTTGCACAATTGGGTGTCTGGCATGTGCCGTTACAGCACTTAGGACACTGACGCAATCTTCGCTATCAGTACCCATCTTACCAGTACAGCCCCCATCAATATTTTTTAGCCAGCGCCAGAAGGTTAATTGCTTCTTGGGTAAGTAATATTTAGCTCGAACAACAAAACATACAGAGCCAATGAGAATTAGGCTTTGGGCACCTTTTATAGATAATGGGGCATAAGCGGGTACACATCTTATGGAACCACTTCTTACACTCATCACATTGCATTTCTTCTTCCACACGAAAAAAGCAATATAGCTGTTCATATTTGTGAGCAGAGCTACCATCTCAAAAATTAGCTAAAAATGACAACACAAAACAGTCATTTAAAAAATTTCAAACTTTAACTATATGAATCAAGTCAAAATCGACCAAGTATGCTTTGATGCAATAAATACACAAAAGCGAAATCAAAACACACAATTACATTGTCACTTTAACTGAAATAAATTCAATCAAAGTGTAAACAGTAGTTTTGATGTGTAAATTACTATCAAAAAAGTAAATTTAACACAACAAGAAACAATAATGCTGTTATTTTAAAATAACGCGTTAGTGAACGATTAATTTTCATCGGTTTCAGATATAACCTCTTCAAAATTCTTGATTTTTTAACGGAAATGAGCCATTGTTTTTAGATCAAGGTCGGTTTTGCAGGAGTGTCTTCGATCGTGTGGTCCATTATTGTCATTATATTTTATTGAACTTTAGCCATGCACCCAAAACATTAAGTCTTTAACAGAATATATTATGGTCACATCTTCCGTTAGAAATTACCAATAGTTTGTGACTAAATATGAGAAAAACATGCGGACGTAAATTATTCGACGTAAAGTTTCGAACTTCCTGAGAATTTCTACTCTGACTATCCCTCCTGTTCTTCAGAGTGACATAAGTTATAATGATATCAGGATCTTCGTCCAGTGTATGGAATGTCGGTTTGAGACCACATGGTAGGAGGAAAAATAATCCAATTTCCAATGAGCATTCCTGGACGTTAAAAATATAGTGGTATCGATCTTAACCACACAATACTTAAAGATGAACATGAGATAATTGGAAGAATAGATATTCAAAATTAAACACGGGGAAAAGGCCAGCATTGGTGAACGCGAAAATATTCACGCATTCAATCAGATGGCATGGCTCAGCCTTAACTGGTAACGACTTTTATAATGGGAACGTGTCAACCCAGCGAAATCAAAGGTCAGAGGTTAAGAAGCTTGAAGATATATTTGATAGGATATCGATAAATTAATAAGTGACTGATCTAAGCTGGCTAGCAGTTATGGGGGAAGAGGAGAACAGCCTACTCACTCGTGAACTTGTGCGAATGCGTGACCGAGCACCTTCAGTTAGATGACTGCAATAAAACGAATGACGTCAGCATCAAGCACCAATGACCTACAAAGCTCTTGATTTGAGTGATTTATCTACCGCTACAAGTCAATGTGATCGATTACAGAGGCTTTTAAGGGCAAGAATTTCAAGCAAACCCAAGGGGGAATTATGAGATTATCTCATGCTTGAGGTCAAGTGTAGAAATATTTAACTGTGTGCTTTCATTTGGTTAAGGTTATTATGAACAAAGACGTCAGTAGCGAATGTTAAATTCTCTTCCGAAAACTGGTATTTATTTACCGCAGTACCTCTACGGGTGTAAAATGTGTCATAATTATGATCCTTTGTGAAATGATCAACATAAAAGATAGTTCATTTCCATATGACTCAGCATAAGAGTAAAGTTTATCCAGATACATTACTAAATTTAATGGTAAACATAACTGGACGATAATTGTACACCACATGCTCACGTCCTAGTCCCCAAAAAACCATTAATCATGTTCCTTCAATGCTTTCGGGGTTTTACATGATTGATATCAGATCTAAAAAAGTTCGCACTGGTGTTGTAATCATTCAAATAACTGTAAGATATATCCCCTTTCAACAAATACTGAATATGCCATCACTAGCATCTAAATATTACCGGAAAACTTGTAGTGACATTGGGCTCTAATACGAGGCAATGTGGGAAAAAGACATTCAACATTTACATGGAGTAAAACCCAATGATGAAGAGGGCGGGAAGAATGAATTGAATTAATTGAAGTTGATCGTATGGCATGGCCCGACCATGCAGGCGTGGTCCCTGCTGAATATTACCCGATATCTTTTATTCACATTAAATATATTGTTCTATCTCTAGCCTAAGTTTGTTCCCTATCATGTATTAGTAATTGTTACAGTGTAGTGAGTTGATGTAGACGATGATGTGACTTCCACGTAAGATCTTATAGATTAGGCAGTTATATCATGAAAAGTCTGTAATTATAGGATCAGTTCTAGTGTTAGAGCAGTAATACTATCATAGTAGACCATAATTCTACAAATTCACTGCCTAAAACTTCAGTTTGACCAGCTTCTTCGTCGGATGATTGTTGTGACCTTGTCTGAAGAATGAATGGTGTGACGGGTTCTCTGCTCCAACTAGTCATCTGAGAACAGGAGATCATTGTCCTGGCTCAATACTGAGAGCGTTGGACGAGCTTCATTTTATGAAATATTCAGTTTTGCACACCAGTGATCCAAAATATATTAAATTTATCTATCCGGAGAGGTGGCTAAACATCCGGAATCATCATCATATAGCGTTAAACAAATCGCTAAAATCAATATCTCTGTAAGTCTTCGACATTTGATGCTAACCGCATTAGTTTCAATGGACTCGCCTAAATGAAGCCGCTCGGTCATGCATCCGCACCAGATCACAAGTGGGAACGCCGTGCTCATTTTCTCTTGCCACCGCTAGCCAGTTTAGATCAGTCACTTCTCGGTATATTGATAACCTGTGAAATATATGTTTGAACCTTCTCGCTTCTGACTCTTGATTTCACTGGGTGGGCGCGATTCAATTATAGGTGTCCTAAACAGAAAAAACAAGTGGGAAACGCAAAATACTCTCAGTTATCCTTAAATTGTAGTTTTACTACAATCGATATTCAAAAAAGCTTATAACAAAACATATGCATGTCTCCTACTTCCAATCGTATCAATGTTTTCATCCATTTGTAGTCCTTTTTATTGGGTTTTTTACGTATGTCCGTATTTGGGATTTCGAACCACTCAAGGAGCTATTCGACATGTTACCTCCCCAGAACTAACACCATATGGTGTTGGAAGGATTTTATCGTCAGCCTTCTACATAGACATGGAAGGGGAAATCATGTCCATCTACGGACCTAAAAGCTCAACTGGCTTAACAGATAAGAAGCCACACCATCTATTAACTTTTGAGCAACAACTCAATAACTGCAGAAGTGGATTGGTAGGAACCAAAGATAGCGGTTCGCCTGTTGTTTTGATAGTTATAAATTATGACAAAGCACACAGAAACTCTCCAGTTTCGGAATGAGATAAAGTACGAAAGTGAACATGAAACCCATCTGCGGCCAAATGCGGGGAGTAAGGTTAAATAAGACGCTATTATAGCGTCCGGATATATATCCGGAAGGAAATGGGTCAAAAGTTGTGTCATCGAAAGTATTAATTCATGTTCTTCATTTCCTCTTATTCACGTTAAGAAATCACTAAAACTACTTCAGTCAACGAAATTTACTTGCGGATGACAAAGTCTGGAGAACAATACGTAGTGATACTGATCATCTTGATCTCCGAGCTGATTTAGACGAGTTAGTTGGATGGTCCCAAAATTTAGGTTTGGAGATGGATGTACCAGCTTTCAAATGTTGCGAGTGTTATGATTATCTTCCCGAAATTTCAGATGCTTTGTTTCAGATTTTATACCCTGCTTATATGAAACATCACCTGGAATATTGTACCCAAGCTGCTAACTTATGCCTTTTTAAGGACGCTAACACATCCGAGTGTTCAATGTGTGGGGACTAAGTTAGTGATGGATTTTTCTGAACTCGCCTATAACAACCGATCAAAGTACCTGAACCTTTCTTCCTGATAGCGGAGTGAGGGTTCATATTACGTTGGCAACTCAACCACATCGATGACCTTGAGGTACATCAGCCAATCAGCCTCAAATGGTTGTGGACGGAATAGAAGCTTTCGCTTAACGGGTTTCGTGTCTAGAAGCAACGGATCACCGAAACCGCTAGGCGGGAACCTAGGTATATTAACGATAATAGAGTAAGAATGTAATTGGTAAATCATAGTAAGATATTATCCTTAGTCCTTAAGAATAGATCAAGTTGACTCTTAAAAGACTCCTGGGAAGTCGCTTGGACTAGCTCAGCTGGCAGCGGATTCCAGCATTTGACAACTCTTAAGGAGTAGAAGTTGTGTCTACAGTCCGTCCTTCTATATTGTTTCTCCAGTTTTTGAGTGTTACCTCTTAGGTGAGTGATGGAACTAAGCTTTAGTAGATGTTTGAGAGGATGTCCAGAAGTGTTAAGGATACTATAAGCCATCAGAAGGTCACCTCTAAGACGTCTATACTTTGATGGGTAAAGGTTAAGGGATTGAAGGCGCTCTTCGTAAAGTTTAAATTTGAGTCCTCGAACTGGTTTCGTGGCTCGCCGTTGGATACGCTCCAAAGTGACCTTGTCCTTTTGGAGTGAGGGGGGAGTACTATATTTCCGTACTCTAAATGGGGACGGATAAAACTATTGAAGATTGTATGAAAAGTTCTTCCGTCAAACTGGCCAAAAATGCGCTTCAATGTTACCAGTGCAAGGTTTGCTCGGAAGCCATTTTTGTCACGATTAGCGTAAGACTTTAAATCATGGGGCACCAGGACTCCTAAATATTTTTCGACTTGGGATACTACTAGAGAGGAGTTTCCTAAGTTGTAACTGTAGTTTGCGACATGTCGCAGATGGACTACTTTACACTTTGAAGTGTTAAAGGTAAGTCCGTTATCATCCGCCCAACTTTGTAGTCGAGTCAGATCCTTATGAAGTGCCTGTGTATCGTCTTGGTTGCGTATCTCTCTCCAAAGTTTCACGTCGTCAGCAATAAGTAATAAGTCTGACGTTACCTGTTGAGGAAGATCGTTTATGTAGGTCAAGAAGAGAAGAGGCCCTAATACTGAGCCCTGAGGGACCCCACTAGGACATTCCATAGCCTGAGATAAAGTGAAATTAACCCTAACCTTAAAGTGTCGATTTTCTAGGTATGCAGTAAGCCAATCGATTAGAGGTGATCTGATATACAATCGTTTGAGCTCACTGATAAGACATATATGATTGACCCTAACAAAATCTTTTGAGAAGTCAAGGTAAATAAAGTCAACCTTCGCCTTGGGATCAAGGATGCTTGTTCATGTGTCCGCCACAGTCAACAGGTTTATTACACAAAATTGACACATCCTAAAACATGTTGTTGGAATGTAAAGAAATGCTAGGATAACAAATAGTCATGTATACTGTAGCGGTAAATAAATCGCTAAAATCAATATCTCTGTAAGTCTTCGACATTTGATGCTAACCGCATTAGTTTCAATGGACTCGCCTAAATGAAGCCGCTCGGTCATGCATCCGCACCAGATCACAAGTGGGAACGCCGTGCTCATTTTCTCTTGCCACCGCTAGCCAGTTTAGATCAGTCACTTCTCGATATATTGATAACCTGTGAAATATATAATAATAATAATAATAATTTATTCTCAAATAACAGTTTGTTACATGAGGCATGCCAGTTTACAGGCAAGATCAAATTGATACAAATGATACAATATACACTGCAATAAATTACATAGCTGGGTTGATAATTTATAAGATATGAATGTCGATGGTTTAAATCAGTACTACAGTTGGCGCGCTTCATGAAAGTCGCGTTGCGAATGTGCGACTGATGGTCAAGAATAGGTCCATTGAAGGTATGGGCTTCTAAAAATCGCAACCTTATTTCCTTCTGGGATATCCAAGGCTTTAAGGATGGTGCAGGATGAAGTCACCAGTTCCATATCTCAAGGGGGCTGAAAGAGGGAGCAAGTAAAAGAAAACACGAGAGGCAGAGTAGCCAATATTCATGAAAGAATGCTTAAGGTATGATTACTCAGTCTAATTTTCCTTTATTAAGGTATATGTTAAGAAAGAGCATTTTAATAGGTTATAGAAAATAAGTGTTGACAAGGTGTGAGTGGACATGTCCACTCACACCTTGTCAACCCGAGCTGCCAACTTTGGGGAAAATTGAGTCCATTTTGGGGAAATTTTGGGGAAGCCGCTATAATAAATTTTGGGGAAATTTTGGGGAAATGAGAAAAAAAACCCAAAATTTCCCCAGACCTGGGGAAATCCCCAAAATTTCCCCAACCCTTGGGGAAGGTTGGGGAAACTTTGGGGAAATTCTGGGGAAATTTTGGGGAACTTTGGGGAAATTCTGGGGAACTTTGGGGAAATCCCCAAAGTGAACTGAAGGTTTTGGTAATATAACTTACTACTGAATTTTAGTAAGTAGTATAAAATAATATACGAAAGAACAATTAAGCAACGGTTACGTCTGATATAGCCTGCGAAGCCGGATGAGAGGGGAACGGACACGATAGTTATATCATTTTGGGGAAGCTTCCCCAAACCTTTGGGTTTTCCTGGAAAACAGTTTTAACGCAAAAGCTTCTCGAAAGCCTATCGACATCACGGAAGACGTAGGAGAATGCTTACGTACATTTCTTACTGCGACGTTTTATTACTTTTCGTCAATCGCGCATTGCTAATGAAACATAATGTTAACCGATTTGTCACGATTGTCAAAAGACTGATTTATGAATTATATAAATGTTTATTACAGTTAATAAAATTACAAATGAATCATTTATACAAAGTTTTTCATTGCGTTGTAACAGCAACACGTTACGTCGACGTAGAAGTGTCATTGATAATGTTCTAAAAAATAAATAAATCATTATTAGTGTATAATAACGCGTCGAGATATGTGAAAGATTGGTAATGTATCAATAGTATGACAATGTTCTTATTAATGCGAACAAAGAACTTACAGTAACGTCTGATAAAGCCTGCGAAGCCAGCTGAAAGGGAAACAGACAAGAGACAAGTTATATCACTTTGAGTATTGATGACTAAGTAATAAGCTGTTACAGTAATTAAAGTACAGTGATTATAGTGATAAATACAATGACGATTAACATCCTGTGAATTTTGGGGAAAACCCCAAAGTGAACTTCAGTTATTGGGAATACAACAGAATCATGCATTTTATTAAGTGGTATTAAACAATATAGAAAAGAGTAGGAAGGGGAATGAGTAGGAACAATGTGTGACAAAGTGAACATATGTATTATAACAAACATATTTAGTAGTTTTAGCTCACCCTTTCTTTGGATCGCCATCCACGTTTGTGTACTTTATCTCTTGCGTCATGCAAGAAGGCTTGGCTTGCTGTAGCCATGGCGTGTAATATTTCTTTTTCCGGGCAGCTTGCACTTCGGAAATGTGAACACAAAGCACCTACAAATATGTTAACACAGTAAAGTTGACTTACTTTGAACCGTCGAGTAAAATTTGTACTTACTAATACCAAATTTACTTCTGGTTCCGTGCAAAGTGTAAATGTTCGCTAGTTCCGGCGACAGGATGTATTGAAGACAAGCTTTAGTTGATTTCCGAGTATCGTCACACATTAGGTTGCGTAACCTTGCCACCTAAAATTTATGCAAACACCTTTTACAACTTACCAAATGATCTCGGTATTTTTGGTTTTCTAAAGCTGCCTCTAAAGAACGCAACTCCTCATGCGTTCTTAATGGGAAATGTATAGCATCACTATCCATTTCCTCTGTACGCCTATCGATCACACCCATGGCTAAGCGTTGACACAAAAATATGAGTTTGTCTATTTTCGTAGACAGCTCACTGACCGATTTCAGGAGCGTTCTTAACATTTTGTTTGTATCATCGCACAAACTTGTTATAAGGAATACAGTAAATGCAACTTACGGTTTATCAACTTCCGTCGACGTACGTGGAAGTGGTGGTGATGATACGTCAGCTGTCGATGAACTGCTATATGAGTATTGATAAAGTAGGTACAAACCTCGCAATAGGAGAAAACGTTCCTGTTAAAATGTTGACAACTGGAAATTTCACCGGGGCAAATCCAGCCTCAACCTCAGCAACCTCTAGTTCTTCCGAGGTGCATAGATAATCATTGTGCTTTCGTGTGACAGTTCTAACACCAATGATATAATAAGTTGAACAATTTACCTTTTTGGTTTTTTAGCGTCACAAGGCTGCGTCTCATCGTTATTCGTGATGTTAGTATTGTAGCCCAGTACTGTTGCTAAACACACTTTTAATTCCTGGGCTACATTGTAGTCGTCTGAAAACAATAAATGTGAATGGGTTACAACTTACCACAACGATGCATAACAGCACATTTTCTCACGTTGAATAAGTGCACTTATTCAACGAGGTTTGTACCTACTTTATCAATACTCATATAGCAGTTCATCGACAGCTGACGTATCATCACCACCACTTCCACGTACGTCGACGGAAGTTGATAAACCGTAAGTTGCATTTACTGTATTCCTTATAACAAGTTTGTGCGATGATACAAACAAAATGTTAAGAACGCTCCTGAAATCGGTCAGTGAGCTGTCTACGAAAATAGACAAACTCATATTTTTGTGTCAACGCTCAGCCATGGGTGTGATCGATAGGCGTACAGAGGAAATGGATAGTGATGCTATACATTTCCCATTAAGAACGCATGAGGAGTTGCGTTCTTTAGAGGCAGCTTTAGAAAACCAAAAATACCGAGATCATTTGGTAAGTTGTAAAAGGTGTTTGCATAAATTTTAGGTGGCAAGGTTACGCAACCTAATGTGTGACGATACTCGGAAATCAACTAAAGCTTGTCTTCAATACATCCTGTCGCCGGAACTAGCGAACATTTACACTTTGCACGGAACCAGAAGTAAATTTGGTATTAGTAAGTACAAATTTTACTCGACGGTTCAAAGTAAGTCAACTTTACTGTGTTAACATATTTGTAGGTGCTTTGTGTTCACATTTCCGAAGTGCAAGCTGCCCGGAAAAAGAAATATTACACGCC